TTTATATTGGACAGGCTCTTTTTTTTAAGATCAAGACTCTGGATTTCCTATAGGCTTCAGGTAGTGAATGGCCTCATTTGAATTTAAATGCTTGGGAAGGAGTGAGCTGCTATGGCTGATTCTTCTAGGCATGGGAATAGTGGGTAAGTACTGAGTAAACTGCCCTTTTGAGTAATCTGCTTGGAAGTGCCTCCCACGCAGAAATTTGTTATAAAACTCCCACACAGTGAAAAGTGGCGTTTTTTAAAAAGCTAATAATTTAAGCTTCAACACTGGAGGCAATAAATGTAGAAAATGGGAGCCAGATAAAAAATATACATTAACGTTTAAACATTTTTGGTAGATGTATGTATACGCAAATGAGATTTCTAATTGATACATACCAATTTCAGAAAATCTCTTATTTAAAATCACTTTAAAAGCCAAGATTGTTCGATCCAAAAGGTAACTTCTCAGCACCACCTTGTGGTAACTTTTAGTTAAACCTGGATGTTGGCTTACGGTAGGATTTATATTAGTATTACAGCGAACAATGGAGAAGTAGAAAGTGTAATTGGAAATAGCCACCTAATTTCTTCAGTACCACAGGGGGAAATTAGTACTTTTGTTTCGTGTAATACTTATAGTTCCTGTTACCAACAAACCTGTATTTTGTGGAAGCCTAAACACGTTTATTTTAGGAACAGTGTAGCAGAGAAAAATATTTTTTATGTAGTGGATATTCCATGCATAGTAATTAAGTGAATGGATAAACAGAGAAGATAATGTGAAAACAATTCACCTGAAATTACTAAAGTAGTAATTAAAAAAAAAAAATCATTTGCCGTAAGAAACAATGCTATCCACTGGCCACACAGACGGGATGGGATTGACTGGGAAACAAGACCGAAGACCACAGCCCAGAAATCCCAGGATGCAGCAGAGCAAGGAGCTGCCTTGGGGCTTGCTACAGGCAAGCCAGAAAAAGAGATCCCAAAGCCAGCATTAACCCGGAAGCCCTGATGTGACAAAGCAAGACATGGGGCACCCTCGTGGTGTCAGCCCCGCATTCCCACAGGGTCTCCTTAAAACTGGCGCCTGTCCTGGGAACCTGTGGTCAACAATGACAGAAAGCCAGTCCCAAGCCCCAAGATGAGCCCCAGATCAGGAAATGCCAGACATTTGAGGGAAACCAACCCTCTGAAAGTGGCATTAGATTCAACAAGAAGAAGTAACAGTCAAGGAATAAAGGAAAATATGAAAATAGGTGCTATTGGTAATTTATTCAACTCATCTACTTAACAAGTACTTATTGAACACTTAAGCTTACAAAAACAAAGCTAAAATTAAGAAAGAGGAAAATTGGAGGGGGCACCTGACTGGCTCTGTCAGTGGATCGTGCAACTCTTGATCTCGGGGTTGTGAGTTTGAGCTCCACGTTGGGTGTGGAGATTACTTAAAAATAAAATCTTAAAAAGAAAAAAAATGGGGCACCTGGGTGGCTCGGTTGGTTAAGCATTTGCCTTCGGCTCAGGTCATGATCTCAGTGTCCTGGGATCAAGCCCCAGTCCAGCTACCTGCTCAGCGGGGAGCCTGCTTCTCCCTCTCTCTCTGCTTTTCCTCCCCCCACAACCCCGCTCTGCTCGCTCTCTCAAATAAATAAAATTTAAAAAAACAAACAAAAATCCCCACGGTGTTAAGCAATTATAGATAGAAAATTGGTTGTTAGAAGACATTTTATGGATGCCTCCTACTTAAATTTTATTGTCACATTTTCAAAGTTTCTCTCATTAAATTATGTTTATATTTTCTTTGTAGATTAGTTCATGTATATTTTTAAATTTAGTTGTAAAAAGAGAAGAGAAAGATGCAAATCAGATACTATGAAAGAAATTGAAGAAAGAATGATTTTTTTGTCATTTCTTAATGTGTGGCTTTTATTTTCCTAGAATTCTTTTGCAGCTTTGCCATACCTATCCATTTAATTCTGTTTAATTTTGTAGTACGTGTTAGTACAAAGGAACTGTTGAAGAGGTTGACATTTCATTTGTTCCGCATGATGTGGGCTCCCTTTTAACAGGAATATTTTTTCCATGTAATAATGAGTTGAGAAGTGGTTCGTAAAATATTATAGTTTTGAAAATGTCAGCCTACTAGTTTTAATCCCAATGACTTGTTTGGCGTAAACCTTAGCTAATAAAGGCTTCAGAGGCTGTGTAAATAGTTTTATATCACTGAGTATCTCTAAAGACCTAGAATTTAAACTAAGGAATGTGGGGCACCTGGGTGGCTCAGTCGTTAAGCGTCTGCCTTCGGCTCAGGTCATGATCCCAGGGTCCTGGGATCGAGCCTCACATTGGGCTCCTGGCTCGGCCAGGAGCCTGCTTCTCCCTCTCCTGCTGCCCCTGCTTGTGTTCCCTCTCTCACTGTCTCTTTCTCTGTGTCAAATTAAAAAAATAAATAAATAAAATAAACTAAGGAATGTATTCTGTCTTTCTAGCTTTGAATTATGAATACATAATGCCTATATTATACTGAAGAATGTTCAGAGTCTAATACGTTTTCCACCTGTGGGTAGGATACGAAAATCATATTGGAATTTAGTACTAAAATTACAATTACCATATGTTTAAAATGTCATTTGTTCTTTGTTCTCTGGTTGTGGTTTTGAGGGAAAAGGGGAGAAACCAAAGAAAAGTAAACTCGCCCCCTCCAAAAAATATTTAAAATTCAAAAAATCATTAATAGGCTTTTCCTGGAAGAAAGGGACATAGAACAATTTGTGTTTGAAAAAATGTTTATCCTCAGAACTAACAAAAGGGAATGCAGACTTAAATAACATTTTTGGCTATCAGATTTGCAAGATTTTCACTGCTAGTATTCTGTGGTAAGTGGACCAAAAAAATGGCATTCTCATGTGGTAGAATAAGGTCACACCCTTCAGCAGGTTCTTAGGCTTAGCTAAGCATTCAGTGTCTCCTGACTGCCGTAAACCATGTCTGGTACTAGTTGCTCAGAAGGATCGAGAAGCCGGGAAAATCAATCAGCTGGAAGGACAGCATCAAGTGCTTGCTCTTCAGTGGGAGACTTCATGACACTCCCCATAGTTGCCCACACAGCCATCTGAAAGCTGTTTCCTTTGGTACCTCAGGTGACAGCTTAGGTGCTAAGAAGTGACGCTCCTCTTGGTGGGTACGGGAGCCTCCCTGCTATAGAGCCTCAGCCCCCTGGAGCCATGGTCTATTGTAACATGTTCCCATTGGGTTTCCCAGTTTCCTGCAAGGAGTGTGGGAGTTAGAAGAGTCACCAAACTCGGGAATACCTAAGCATATGATGCCTGCTAGGTATTTATAATCCCTTCAAATCATTTATCAATGAGGGGTTATTTTTCTCCTCAGCAGTGATACTTACTAATATGGTTATCAGTGTACCTTTATCAGGTTCCTAGAGGAACAGAGCTAGAAATTGAAAAGTCAGATTCTTTCACAGAAGGGAACGGGGTTTGTTAACCCTTTACTCACAAAGAATGAGTGTGATCTCTTTTTTAGAACACAATTTAACACTATATACTGAAAGCTTTGATTGTGCGTATATCCTTTCAATCCAGCAGTATTGTTTTTAGGGATTTATTGTAACAAATACGATGTATGCACAAAGAGGTATCTGTATATAGGTAGGTTATCACGGTATTATTTGCGATGGGGAATAATTAGTGACCGTCTAAATGCAGTTGGTTAGGAAAAATACGCTATGTTCATATTATGAATACTCTGTGGGTTTATGGAGTAAGTTTTTCCAGGAAAAAAGACATTAAAAGTCTTTATGTCGAAATATTTAGTGTTTAACTTTGATGTTCTGCTGTGTAATTTTTATTTTAGCCATGAATCACTAATTTTTAACTTTGACCATGTGTTACTTTTCTAAATGATTGTGTTTTACAGAAATGACCAATGAAGGTCACTTTAAATACATGCTCCTTAAATTAAATAATCATACATTTTAAGAGTTTAATACCATTTAAAAAGGCTTGATCTTGAATTCCTTTAATGAAATTTTATACATTTTATAATCTCCTCAGGTGTATCTCACCTCAGCATCTAAAGTGATGATCTCGAAATGTATCAAGCCAGTGAAATCATTCTCAGTTCATTTTCTCATATAAGTTATTGTATAATTTCTAACTTCTAATTAAAATCTCATAAACTAAAAACCTATCAAAATTGATAAAGTGAATACAGATTTTTTTTTTTTTTAGTTGGTCTATAGGATTACTCTTCGGGGCTGAGGAGGTTAAATCATTATGGAAAGAAACTGTGGTTCAGTGATTAAATGGGAAAAAGCCATATAACCACATATTTGCATATTTGGTAAAATTTAGATGCCAGCCCTCTGCTCTTTTTGTCAAGTTATGGGTAGGTTAGTGCATACCATCATTACGTCCTAAGAGGTTTTAAATACACAAAAACACACACACACACACAATTTATTTTCCATCTTCCACTTAGTAGTATGCCCACATCGTGGTTTATCACCCCATCTGCTGATAGTCTTTCCATTCTATTTGTTTCAGAAAATGTAAAACAAATAGGTCCTCAAGGGGCATGTGGTACTTCAAGGAATATTGAAAAGGAAAATATAATTTGAGCTGTACTTTCAACAAAATAAGAATCATAGAAGGAGGATCCAAGGAAATGTTCATTGGATTTATTACTGCCTATTTTGTACTAATTGTGTTTCTTATTCTCCTTACAAATGGGTAGTAGAGAATTAGTTGACCCTATGGAAATGCCATGTACTGAAGAAGATTGGTCTTTGGGACTTAGCCTATGATTGTAGTCCCCGTCCATCAGGGACTGTTACCTCAGGACTCAGTTTCTCCACCTAAGAAATGAATGGATTAGATGAGATAATCTCTTAGGTCTTTCTCAACTAAAAAAGCCCTTAGGACTTAAGTAATTTTTAATGCTAAGATTTATGATGATAAAACTTCTGAACTGATAATTTTATGTTCTGTCTTTCAGTTTATACCTGTTCAAACTAGGAATAGCACCCCAGATCCAGGATTTGTTGGGAAAAGTAGACTTCACAGGTATTACTCTTTATTTTTACATTGTCATTTTACTAAGAAATGTATCAATACTTGTCCTTTTGATAGCATCGATTCCTGTTTTTCCTCTATATTGATCAGAGGAGAAAACTTTATTATCTTGTTTGTATTCGACCACTTTTCCTTTCACCACATTTGTGAAATGAGAAATAGGCTGACTTCTTCCTAAGGTTCTTGTTTAGAAATGCCCCACCTTCTGGATGAAGACACTTTTTTCCCTTTTTTTTTAAATAATGGCATTTTTAATATTCTTTTTTGTTTTTTGTTTTTTAGAGAGAGTGCACACTCGTTGGGGAGGGGCAGAGGGAGAAGGAGAAAAAGAATCTTAAGCAGGCTCCACGCCTAGCGTGGAGCCCAATGCAGGGCTTGATCTCACGATCTGAGCCAAAATCAAGACTCGGTCACTTAACCGACTAAGCCACCCAGATGCCCCCTTTAATATTCTTTATTCAGAAAAATAAGCCTCGGATTTCTGGGAGAGAGACCGTGGGATGATGACATTTCTTTTTTTTTTTTTTTTTTTTTGACATTTCTTGATGTAAATATATTCATTCCTGTTTCCATCTCTGTGTCTTTCTTTGATATTATTTGTTGTTGTTCTTTTTCAGAGGAAGAAATTAGTAATATGAGAAAGGAACTTGAGAAATATGGAATACAAATGCCATCTTTCAGCAAAATAGGTGGGATTCTGGCTAATGAACTGTCAGTGGATGAAGCTGCTTGTGAGTCTATTTAAAATCAGAGCTTACTATTGACATGAGACTTACCTATACCTTATTTCTTGATTTTGGTTACAAGAAGGAATATTTAGAAGATACTTTCAGCCCCCTTTTGAAGTTTTTATTGTATGTATTGTAGATGGTTAAGTTGAGCATATGAGAATATAACCATGTAATTTGATTTATTAGACTTTAAACATCTACATGTGCAATGTGAATAAGAGTTTTCAGAAATACCTTTATTCAAAATATTTCTTTGCTGTTTGTGTGTCATCAGATTTTAGTGGTAGAGTATATTGCTATATTATCCTTAAGTGTTGCAGGTTACATTGCCAGTATCATTTGGAAACAAACTGGTACTTTAACAATGTCCACATACCCCTTCAGCCCTCGGGGGTTGACATAGGGCTTGGTTCATTTTAGCCATTCATAAATTCATAGGGATGACATGGTGGATGCTGAGACAGGACCCGAGCAAGATGGGCAAGTGGAGAGGTTGTCAGAGGGGTGCTCTGTGAAGTGTCTAGGGTGTCTTATTTGGCCTTTTTAACTCGAAGCCAGAGAAGAAAGTAAAACTGCTTACATTCATGCAGTGTCCCTGCAACTGTCCATGTTGTCTTTGGCTCATGAAAATCCTTTTTTTCCCTCTTCCCAGTGCACGCTGCAGTTATAGCCATTAATGAAGCTATTGAAAAAGGAATAGCGGAACAAACCATTAAAACGTTAAGAAACCCAAATGCAGTTTTAACTTTAGTAGATGACGGCCTCGCACAGGAATACCAGAAGGAACTCTGGGAAGCCAAGAAAAGGAAAGAGGAAAATGCAAGACTGAAGGTATGTAATTAGATTCTCAGTAACACGGCTCTGAGTGGCTAGTTTGAAAAAGCCTTGAGGTTACAAGCGATCATTTTCGATCACCTGGCAGTGGTCTCTACAGTGGTCTGTACAGCTGTAAGCAGTTGGTTTGCCTGGAATGTGAAGGGCAAAGCAGACCCTGCACTACGGAAAGAAAGGAGGCTTCCTTTTCTGCTGATTCTTGCAGGCTACAAGGATTGAACGTCATGTCGTAGACTTATTACTTACCCGGGAAGTGTGGAAGTAATGGCTCAAGATCTTGCCTTGTTCGGCATCACCTGCAGACCTTGTATTAGCTGGGTCACCTGTAGATTTATTGATAGAGGTTCATGATTTGGTGTGGTGAAGCTGAGAGCTGGTGTTTTGAATTCACTCTCACATTTTGCCTTTCCATCTCTGCAAGGCAGCCTGACCCTGACTTGATACTTGTGCCTTCCCTCTAGCGTTACTGAGGACTTTGTTGACGTACAGAGCTTCCACTTCCTGGCCAGCTTTCTCCTCCTTAAGCTCCTGCCATGTCAGCCTCAGCTCCGTTAGCAAAACTTCCCACTTGATCTTACTGCCTTCTCTGACCTGGTGGCTTCTGCCTGCATGTGGCACGCTTGCCCACCCTGCCCGCCTGCCTCCGTGTTGGCTGCTCGGCTGCCAAGGTTCTCCTCTGCATCTCTCAGTGTCTCCTCTCCCTCCTGCCTCTGCCTACGGGGATTTTGTAAGGCCTGACCTGCAGTCACTTCGGTCTCTGTTCCTCCTCAGACAAGCTCATCCACTTGCTGAGGAAATCAGCTGTCAGCTTGATACCAGGCCCCTCGAATGCTCCTCCAGATGACTTCATCTCTCTGTCCCATGCACCTTGCTCCTCATCACCTAGGAAGAGTGTTCATCTCTACCCTGCCCTTCTCACACACGTGCCTCTCGCTGACCTGCCTCTGGAATGACTGCTACGATGTTTTAGAACTCTGCCCACGCCCCCCCCACCACTCCTGTATTCTATCCATCACTGCATTCTATTGCCTCTTCTTGCCAGGCTTACATCTGTCCCACACCTTCTAGTCTCACCACTCTGGCCCCAGCCCTGCCTCCCAACCGTGCCTCAGTGTTCTTGCACAGCTTCCTTACAGGTGGCCGTGCTTCCTCCCATCCTGTAAGCCAATCCCTGTCAGAGCTAGAGATTGCAAAATTATTTAATCTTTAGCTACAGATCAGATGTCAGCCCCCACAAAGCTCCCTGGGTTCCCTACTGCCTACCGAGTTAAGTATAGGCTCTTCGCTTGGCTTTAAGAAGCCTCCAGAATGCCCACCCAACCTCCCCATCATTCTGGCTAACCCCGAACACACGCTCTATGCTGTAGCCCAGTGTGCCAAGCTGTCTCACCTTTGTGACCAAATCCTGTGGTCTACATCCTGCTCCCTGCTCTGCCCTTAACATCGCTCTGTTCCTCCAAGCCCTCCTCAATTGTTTTCTCTTTTTCAAGTGTTGTTTTCCAACTAACTATGTACTTCTCCTCTAAAATGTATTCTCTTCTATGTATAGCTGTTATTTATGGTGTCAGTTTTATTAGACTGAATCAAATGAAATTGCCAACATTCCACTGACTTCAGTCTACCAAAAAATGGCAGTATGGTCAAGTGGTCCAACATGGTGTTTGCCACGTTAGACAGGCCCTTTCAGAGAGTCACTGGGGCTGCTGTTTGTCTTTGCCAGGCCTATCTAACCCTAGTTCCCTGCACAGAGCGAGCACTCTTCAATGCTTATATTGAATTCAAATGAATATAAGTAAACGGTTTTTCTCACTCTTTGCATTTTGCTTTTGAATACCGAGCTTTGGACATATTTTATTTAACCTCAGGAATCAGTGAAGACTTTGTTTTGTAGAATAACTGTATTTCAGAAGAAGAAAGAGATGCCTATGAAGAACTGCTGACCCAAGCAGAAATCCAAGGCAACATCAATAAAGTCAACAGTAAGTAGTGGATTGCATGAAGGAAATGGCTAGTGCTAAAACACACAAATTCTCCTCGTCAGAATCTCACCAAGACTCTCAGCTGGTATCCTTGTAACACTGCCTTGTGTGATGAAAATTCCACTCAGTGTCAGTGTTGTTCTTAATTATGGTGCATGGTCTGGCAGTTTCCCATGGAAATTTTAGGTGATCTTGCTCCACTGCCCATGCAAAGTATCTCAGAGTATCTTGAAGCTAGTTTAGCTCTCCCTTCCTGTTTTATGATAGGTACAGTGTATGTCATATTTTGAACCTATCCCTTATTGGGCTAACAGGGAAGGCTATCTAGTAAAAGATTATGACTTAAGGATTATCATTTCTTGCCCATGATTATGTGTCAGTGTTTGGAATTGAAAAGGTATTGTTGACACCTCTGCTCTTTATTACTTCCCAGTCATTAGTCTGCAGTTTGTAAGAATTGTTTTCTTACAGCGTGTATAGTTTTTTTTGGCAAGTCAATGAGACTGGATAGGCAATGACATTGCATGGTGACAGGTTTGAATCCTATGTCAGAAAACTCAGGTAATTAAAATGAGCATATGCAAGTTCAGAGACATTAATCTCCTTATTAGTCTCTTCTCCCGTCTCTAATAAAATTTGGTTTCACTTGAAGCAGTAAGGAATTCTACCTGACATTTATTTCCCCTTGGGCAACCTAAAGAGCCCCTATATACACAAAAAACAAATACGTGAAAGATCATTTAGCCCATTAATAAAGCATGTGAACCATCTGCCAAAGTTAAACTTGGGAGTATCCACTAATTACAACACTTCTAAACTTTCTCTTTGATTCAACCTCGTAGATGAGCTTTGAATGTTCTTAACACCTTCAAAGAAACTATAGATTTTACCATAAAGTTTGCTCCCAAGTCACTGGTAGAGATCTATCCAAAGGGTTCAAACAGTAATTAAGGAGGCCCAGAGAAAATTGATGTAAACATCTAGGAGTTAACAACTGAGTAGGTTTGAGAATTTCCCTCACACACAAAACTGCTGAGAGCTCCCGGTAACTCTTTTTAAGGGAACACCTTAACACTGTAGAATGCATGTTCCTCTTCTTTTATTCTTATTTAATTTCGAACCTATTGGTGATGATACATGAAACACAATTTTAAGTTTCTCTTTCTGCTCTGTTTGAAAGATGAGAATTTCATTATGCTTGACAGAAATGAATCGCAGGAAGAAATTAATATTCCCAGCAAGACAGCTGAGGTCCATAAACTCAGTGAAGAAGTGATTCCATAGCCATCTGCCATCCTTTATTTTTGAAAAGTTTATAACCACTAAAACAGGTTTCTTATTTATTTTAAATAAAGGGCCTTGTATAAATGTTTTAATACTTACTGACATAATTTCCTGACCACAAATTTAATGCCATGTTGCTTATACATTTTTAAATAAAAGGTATAAGATGATTTGCACTAATGCATAACCAGCTTAAATTATGAAGGGCATTGCCGTGTTTGATGGCTTTAAGTGTGTAGAACATGATGATTCTGAAGTTTTTTTATCTCTCCCCATCTGAAAATTTATAGTCAAGCGGAACTAAGAAGAGTCTTGAAAAACCCCTAAAGTATATTTTAATCAGTGACATGACAATAAGACAACTCTATGCTTTAAAATATATGAGTATAGCTACTTGACAAGCTTTTTCTCAACCCTGTAGGTTATTATACTAAAATGTTAAGGTGTCTACGTTCATAATAGCCAGAGAAGTGATGTAAGTGACAGTTTTGACAGCAATGTCACCAGATCTGTCGGCGGAAGCTTCAGCTTTGTCTGACCTGCAGTCATTTAACTTTGGGTTTGGCCCATGCATTCCATTCATTACAAGACATATTCTGTTAAGACCAGGGCTGGAAGTTTGGTTAAATGCACAGTATAAAAGAGTGGGACAGCTCACTTTATTTTTTTTAGAAGAAATGGTTCATAAAGAATGTCTTAAGGGTATGATTTCTGGTACTCTTTTACCATCCAGTGGTGCAAACTCACAAAATGGAGTTTTCAGAGGGGAAGCAGGATCCTATCCAGAATAATGACAGACACAGCTGAGAGGCCATGGGTGACACTCACAGAATAGCAGAGGCCACGTGTGCCCACTGACCTTCCTTTCTGGGATTTTTTTTGTTGGCTGCATCAATTCTTATAACAGAAAAAATAGGTTTAGGTTCTTAGAGTCCTTTAGAAGAAGTTTAAGTTTTTGGTGGGTGTAACTAAGAAGATTGCATTGGCTGGAAGTATTTCTTGCTATTGAATGATGTGTCTCAGGAGAAAGGTTATGGAGGGTAGCTCCTTGTGAATGAGTTACAGAAGGTGAATTGTCATCTGTTAAAATGGTTAGAGTAATCTTAGCTGCAATCTAGTCATGTATTAGGGAGACAGACTAACCCTTGAAAAGCTCTAGAAATCTATGGGTCTGTGTTATTTCTGCTATCCTGAAACCTTCTTTTTTTTTTTTTTTTTAAGATTTTATCTATCTGTTTAGAGAGCATGAGTGGGGTGGAGGCAGAGGGAAAGGGAGGGAGAGAGAATCCCAAGTAGGCTCCCTACCCAGAGTGCAGAGCCCGACATGGGACTCGATCCCACGACCCTGAGATCATGACCTGAGCCGAAATCAAGAGCGGGACACTTAACTGACTGAACCCCCCAGGCGCCCCTGAAACCTTCTTTATGGGGCAGAATGGTGCTGTTTCTGTCCAGTTTGCCGTTGCCTGGTGGCACAGTTGCCCGCTCATTCTCCCAGTTCATCAGCAATTCTCTTCGGTTTTCTGAAAACTATGAGGAATCTCCTGTTTCAGGCACTCTTGATTTGGTTATTAAAATTCAGATCTTGGGGGGCGCCTGGGTGGCTCAGTCGGTTAAGCGTCTGCCTTCGGCTCAGGTCGTGATCCTGGAGTCCTGGGATCAAGCCCCGCCTCAGGCTCCCTGCTTAGTGGGGAAGTCTGCCTCTCCCTCTCCATCTGCCTCTTTCCCCTGCTCATGCTCTCTCTCTCTCAAATAAGTAAATAAATAAAATCCTAAAAAATAAATAAATAAATAAATAAAATAAAATAAAATTCAGATCTTGGGCAACCCTCTGGGATCCCCTCCCTCTTTGGGAGCTTTGTACTCTATCACTCAATAAACTTTACTATCTGTCAATAAACTTTACTACTGGTCAATAAACCTTGCTTTGCTGCCCGAAGGAAGGAAGGAAGGAAGGAAGGAAAGAAAGAGAGAGAGAGAGAGAGAGAGAGAGAGAGAGAAAGAAAGAAAGAAAGAAAATTAAAATAAAATAAGATTTTTAAGGTCTTCATAATCTGAACATTGCAGCTGGTGGAGCTCTCATGGAACTTATGATCCAATCAGATAATGTAAGCCGACACATTTCTGTGATCAAGGTTTTTGGGGTTTTTTTTAAGGTGAATTGATACTGGCACAGACTTACTTAATCATAGAAATTTTGGTTATAATATTTTTTAAAAAACACCTCTGAAATTATTTTTTCTTAAAATCACACTTCACAGAACACAAGAGGTGAGAGGGAATGTTCTGAGAAAAATAACATCAGGGGGGCACCTGGGTGGCTCAGTCCGTTAAGCATCTGCCTTCAGCTCAGGTTGTGATCTCAGGGTCCTGGGATCGAGCCCCGCATCAGGCTCCCTGCTCGGCGGGGAGTCTGTTTCTCCCTCTCTCTCTGCACCCCCCACTCATGTTCTCTCTGTCTCTTTCTTTCGACTAAATAAATAAAATCTTCAAAAAAAAGGAAAAGAAAAATCCCATGGTATCAAGCAGCACTGTCTCCCAGTGCTAACTGTGGGTTTCCATTGGTGCTGCTTCAGAGGGAGGATACAGCAGTGGGGAAAGGCTGGCTTTGGGTGTTGACATAGCTTCAGTGCCCTTGCAAAGGCAGTACTAATACACAAGGAGTATTCAAGAACAATGCCTATGGGATCTCTATGGCCCAGCTCTAAACACTGTGGGGTTCCCCTAGGTGTGAAATCCTCAGGGACTAGAACAGTGGAAGAGATGAGACCAGAGCCGATCCTGACGGGCAAGGTTTTGTAGGGAAGTCATGCTAGACAAGAGTGATCTTCTAACTCCAGCTCTGTCAATGCTGAAGTCCTTTTGGGACTTTCTGCAAGGACTGGCCTGACTTCCAGTTACTGAGCTACCATCTTCAAGTCTTGGCCTGCCCTCCAGCTGCAGCTTTTGAGAGTTCATGGAAAGGGACTGCCTAGATTCTAATCCTTGGAAAGATGGGCTGGTTGGGTCAAGCAGCATGGAAACAGCGGACACTCTGACGGAATGTGACACCCCCAACCCCCACTCAGGGCTGGCTGCCGTAGACCACATCAATGCTGTCATTCGGGAAGGTGACCCCGAGAATACACTGCTTGCACTGAAGAGACCGGAGGCCCAGCTGCCCACTGTTTATCCCTTTGCTGCTGTGATGTATCAGAATGAACTTTTCAACCTCCAGAAACAGAATGCCATGGTAAGTCTGAGGACACTCCAGCTACAAAGCTGTTAATTCTGAGTCGAAGCCATGAGGAAGGCTGTTTAGGAAAGGTGAACGGGGCGCAGAGTCTTTAACTTGTACCAATCCCTGTTCCCCTGGCCTCCCTGTTCCAGGTCCACCGGCTGCCTTCCTCTTTAACTCCCGCTTTTCTTCTCCATAAAGAGTCTGCCTAGTTAGGAAATGCAGGCAGCAGTCTATACAAATACACGTTGAAAACAAGTTGTTCTTATTCTCTTAGTCTCTGATTTTTGAAGCACTTTGAATAATTTTTTAATTGTACTGAAATTTTTAAAAAAATATATCATGTTTTTTGATATAGAATAATTAGCTGCGAGTCTGCATTTCTAGAAATGAAGAACATTAGCACCATGACTTTAACTTTTGCAAATTGAATGCTGCTTGATATGTGAATGGTATTAAGTAGTAATATGTAAGGTTACAGTAATTAAAACCATGTGTACTAGTACAGGATTAACCCAAACAGTGGAATAGAATAAAAAGTACTGGAAGCAGAGCCAAGAATTGAATATATGAGAACGCTAGTATTTCAAAAAGGTGGAGAAGAGAATGAAATCCTTACGAGTGTTTAGCCGTTTGAAAAAGAAAACATGACCTCACTACGCATATCAGAATAAATTCCCAACATAAAAAGTTAAATGTAAAAAGTAACTTAAAAAATTGAAGCTCTAAGGAAATGTAGAAGAACATTGGATCTTAAAAATCAGAAACAGCACTGTTCCACAAAAAAAAGGAGGAGCGGAGGCCAAAAGCATGAACAGCCAATTCACAAAGATCAGCATATACAATGACAGACACACACACACAAATGTTCAAACTCAACCAGAAGTAAATGTAAATTAAGATACAGTTGTTTTGGGAAATCGGATTGGTAGCACTGAGAGATCTAACGTCGTGTAGGCATAAATTTGGGGCAGGAGGCATCTCCTCCATGGCCGATGGAAGAATGAATGGGGCACCCTTTCTGGAAGGCTGGTCTCAGTTAAGTGTATGCAGGTCTTTTACCCATTATCCTGACAATTACATTGCTAGGAAAAGAGCTTAAAGAATATGAATCAAAAAGTTGTATTCACAGGGATTGTTTCACAGCATGTTCTGTAATACTGAGAAGCAAGAAACAAACCACATGTTTAACAACAGGTTGCACATGCTAATATCAAGTGGAGAAAATGAGATTAAAACGTCATTATCTAGAGGGTTTTTTGTACTATGAAAATTCTGTTTAAAAAAACCTCTATAAATGTTTGTATGAATTAAAAATAAATAAATGGATATACACTAAAGGGCTTGGGTGGGAGGATTTGTTTTCTTATTGCATACCAAGACTTCTTGTTTTCTAAATAGAAAGATACTGTTTTGTAATAAAAGAAAAATAGGTCATGTTCTGAAATTGCGCTGAAGTTCTTTCATTGATAGTTTCTCCTGTACCACCAGCTTTGAAGCCCAAGGCTACTCACACTCTAGCCCAGCCATTCATCCCTAACTGGTCAATGGTCAGCCTATGGTTGTCCAGTCCCACTGCTTCTTTATTTTCCCTTATCCTTGCTGCTGAATACCACGTTAGATATTTGTGGACAATTACTGGAAGGGGTATAGGAGTTGGATCTCAAAATGTTTCCATCCTGCTCTTTTACTTGTAATTTTATACCTCCTTTATGTGTTAAACTTGTAGTTAATATAAGAAACTTGGATAAAATTTGCTTACATGCTCCCTATAATAACCCCTTCTTCCCATTTGCTTTGGAAGGTAAAATTATGCCTTGTTACTCTAAAATCCACTGCTGTGGGATACCTGTGGAGATCCAGAGAGCTATAATGCATTTTAATATAAATATTACATTTTATATATTAAATACAGAAAATATCCTAAATGTAAATCCTGGTTTTTCTATTAATTTTCTGCTCCCTCTGTGTTCCTTCAATATAATGGAAGAAATAACCCTTTTGAAGTTGAACCAAGTCAGTATAAAATGGTTAAATGGAAGAGAACATTGAAGGGGGAAGCAGTTCGAAAGTCTCAGGATGTGGTTTTTTAAATTTTATTTGACTGTAATTGATACACAATGTTACATTACTTTCAGGTATACAAGATAGCCACTTGGCAAGGTTATACTGTATGCTATGCTCACCACAAGTGTAGCTACCATGAGATGTATTTTTTAAGCCAAATCCAGAATTATAAATCATACTTGCTCTATTCTAAGATTGACTTCACATTTCTTCAAATATCCAGACTTAATAGTATGTTTTAAAATTTCTACCCAATTATTGGGGCATCTGGGTGGCTCAGTCAGTTGAGCATCTGACTTGTGATTTCTGCTCAGGTCATGATCTCTGGGTTGTGAGATCGAGCCCCAAGTTGTAGGGCTCCATGCTCATCGCAAAGTCTGCTTGGAGATTGTCTCCCTCTGCCCCTGCCCCCACTCACTCACTCTCGCTCTAAAATAAATCTTTAAAAAAAATTGTAGAAAATAACATTTCTACCCAGTTATTAAAAAGTGACTCAGATTAACTTTTTTGGCACTAGAATTGATATTCTTAGCCTAATGAGTTTGGTTTACTTTTCTGGGGTTATAACTTGTAGGTAAAACTCTCCCCTCTTTGCCTTACCCTTACTTTAAACTGAAAATCACTACCGAAAATCTTAGCCTCACACTCTCAGACAGAGACAGGCTTTTCTAATCCTTCACTTAATTATTTGGTAAGTCTGAGCCTGTAAGCAGCTAATAGAATGGGTGGTGGGAATCAGCTAGGGCAATGCAGATGTTTGAGGAATCAGAACCTTTGGTTGTCATTAATTCTGTCCCTTAAATGATCAGCTAAGAAAAACCCAGAACCTGCTCACTTGTTCTTTAAAGCCAATGAAAAACAGGTGGCCACTGAGCCTTCTTTCTCCTGGTTTCTCAAAATCTTTAAGTTTTCTTTGTTCTTTGAAATACGCATTCTAAAACCCACCACATACCTGAGGCTTGTAATTTGGGAAACTTGTATTGCACATATTTTCCAGCAGAACTACTTGGCCCATGAGGAGCTCTTGATTGCAGTGGAAATGCTGTCTGCTGTTGCTTTACTCAACCAGGCCTTGGAAAACAGTGATCTAGTTTCTGTGCAGAACCAACTCACAAGCCCAACAATAGGCCTCAACAATCTGGATGAATCGTATGTAGAACGGTAAGGGAACATCTTCCAAGACTCCCTTTAATACAGAAAGGTGTGTTTGGCAGATCTTGCAAATTAAAGATTTGCTCCTTGCTGAAGAAATCCGTAGATCTGTACTTGATTCCTCAAAAACTAGTCTACTTCAACAGTCCTAATATGAATCCTTTTTTACAGTGTTTCTTTTAGGGGGAGAAAGAATCTAAAAATGACCATGTTGTGGCAATTACTGACTGACTTTGTAGTTACCAAAGATGATGTGATAGGCTAAAAATAAAAATGAGAACATACCTTCCTGGGGTGCCTGGACGGCTCAGTCGTTAAGCGGCTGCCTTCAGCTCAGGTCATGATCCCAGAGTCCTGGGATCGAGCCCTGCATCGGGCTCCCTGCTCTGTGGGAAGCCTGCTTCTCCCTCTCCCCCTGCTTGTGTTCCCTCTCTCGCTGTGTCTCTCTCTCTCTGTCAAATACATAAATAAAAATCTTTAAAAAAAGAAAACATACCTTCCCTTGGGCTTTTTTTTTTTTTGGAGACCACTGAATGTAGAAGAGTTGGAAGAAACTTTAATCATGATCAAGTCCAGTTATTTTATTTTACTGATGAGGAAACTAAATTTGGATTTATGGACCCACAGTTGGGCAACTGAAGCCCAAACCCCATTGTTTTGATTGTTAAACCCAAAGAATCCTGAGAGCACAGTGGATCATGGCAGTAGGTGATAATCTCAGTTTAGTGTCTTCCATTTCATGTCTCTGAAATATGCTACTAGATAGTACAGTTGATAGTATAAAACACTACAGGAGCTCTAGAGAGAAAATTAAGGGGCCAGAATAAGGAGTCCTTTAGAGATTCTGTAAAACCGAAGCCCAAGTTAAAAGGAATGATTTTGTAGCCTGGATTCTCGATAACCAGTAGGGGGCGATGTCTGCATAGATCCTGACAAAAGCTCTTTTCAGTACTGATTCCAGCTGAACTGCTTAAATAGAGGCTGGGTCATTCTCTTGGATCATGACAGTTGTACAAGAAAATGTAAAAGACTTTAGATTTTTTTTAAATGCTTGACTCCTTGTCTGTGTAGAGAATGGCCCCAAAGTAGTAGGACAGAGGATTTTCTTTTTTAGTCTTCTTGGGGAAACGGATGTTCTTGTTCTACTTAAATTTGGCCACCTGATGAATATAACTCCTGAGTCTGTTCCCAAGGTAATTTATTTTATTTCTCATGGCACCATTCTCTTCCCCAGGCTTAGAAACCTCCGGTTCTACTCGTTTTCCTCTGCCAGGCACCCTTGTGCTGTGAACAGCCTGCTCATTTTTCCCCGTCAACAGCCATTGTGTGTGTGTAACACCTGCAAAATGTTGCCATTTCCCAGCCACCGCCTAACTGGACTTGTCATCTTTGCTTCCGTAGTAACTTCCAAACTGGTCCTCCTGTGTCTTTAATGTCCTCCTTCATTTTCACCTAACCAGACTTGGCTGCTGTCCCTCAGTGCTTGAGTGGAAGACAGAGCTGGTGAGCTGGTCACTTCCTTATGAAGCTTACAGCCCATTGGGGCTCTAATGGGACATCTTGGTGTGGTAATTGTCACGACTGTCCCACAGATTGCACATCCTGGCCACTGCCCTCTAAATAACTGTACTGCCTCCCTCCATATCACCCATTTTGATTACCAAAATTCCTCCATATCCGCCCCCCAATTTACAAATAACCCATCAAGGAAATGGTCTCACACCCCATTTAGAACCACTTTTTCCCAGGGGAAAACCACAGATACAGCCTCAGAGTTCAAGTATTCTATATGGGAAACTTGAAAAAAAATTGTTCATTTTAATCATGTTTTTAAAATTTGACCTAAGCACTTTCTGGGTCAGCAGAATGACCAGTACCAACATGAGATATCAGGGTCCCCTTTGGTTCTTGGGCTGACAGTTGATCCAGCCCCAAGTGATCTTCCACAGCCTCAGCGTTTTACCTTCATGGTCCACTTTTTAACCCAGTTCTTGGAAGCCCAAGTTTTCAAGTTGAAGAAATGAGGCTCCATCTGGGCCTCTCCCCAGGGTTGTCCAGGTTCTTCATAGCACCAGGGGTGGGGCAGGGCCACCTTGATGAAGTCATACAGAGTATCTACCTATTTGCCATGGCCTCCACCTTGGCCTGTGGTTCCCCAGAAAGACTCTTCTAATTCTCACAAAAGTGATGGAGAGCTGGTATTGGCTCTGGGCATCTGCCGTCCCAGATTAATTGTCCCAAAATATAGTTATGGTTACAGTGCTCTCTATTTGATTGTTCCTTGTTCTCATCTGTAATAAGAACAGACTCCTCTCTCTAAGCACATTCTGACTTTGCTCCAGTTGCATCCCTCCTTGTGTGTCACGCTTCCGTCAAGCTGGATGTGAACACACTGTGTACTTGCTGGCCTGTCTACTGTGCGTGCTCCTCTCGCCACTGGGAATGGGGTGCCTGTCACCTCTCCGGGCACACTGCTGGAGCTGCCTACCACAGATGATGCTTCCGCAGATTATTTCCATGCTTCTCCCCACGCCAGCTAATGCCATCTCTCCTGACATTAGCATGATGTGGTTAAAGGAACATAGATAGCATCGGGGCTAAAAATATTGGAGTCTGACTGTTGACAGCCTTTTCTTCATCTCTAAAGCATAGAAACCCCTACCTCTGCATCAGAAGTCTGTTGGAAAGGCGCTGTTCCTGGTCTGCCCATAGCCACCAGTGCAGAGTGCTCTGAGAGGCGTGGAGGGACAGGACTTGGACCTCTCTGTGAGGGTGAACGGCAGAGTGTTTTCTATAGCTGATGCCTTAGTCCTGGAGACTAATGTTCACATGGAAAAGGCTTTGCAGCTCTGTTGGGTTACTCCTAAAAAGCTCTTTCCTTTGGCTACTGTTTGTTCCTCTCTAAAGAAAAGATGGGCGATGATGAGGATTTTCCTGTGTTCATCCTTAAGCTTTCTCATTTTATTCCCCCTGGATCATTTAGATGTTAAGCATGTGAAATGCCCATAAGGATTTTGCCCTCGCTTACAGAATGGTCTCTGTCCCAAAGCGACACTCAGGAGTGCAAGTTGACATTTTGTTATTGTTATTCAATATTATTGTTTATGTATTACTAGTGTAACAGAGTGTTTCTTAGGCTTATAAATTTTGGTAAGGTAAAAATCTCAGACGTGACCGTTAGCCACTTTCAGGCCTGAATCTGGTGACACCTTATTCAGCCACAGATAAAAGGTATCACTACCACTTCCTATTTTGAATGTTTTTTTCTCTCAAACTACCTTCTATAGAAGGCACTGAGTGCTACCTTAAAGCATGCAGAATTTTGACAAAATCGGTCACAACCAGGAAAACAGTTTTAAACTTAATGTGATGTTACTTTTTCTAACCTCTGCTGTTAGCAATCCAGAGGTGCTATTCAGAAGTCAAAATGCATGGTGAATAAGTATGCACATAGAAGTTGACCTTTATTTCCCTGGTGTAACGCAAAAGCAAACTAAACTCTTGACTTTCTCTACTTGGGGCTAGAACAGCTTGTGTTAGCTTATGTTTGTAACATTGGTTCTGTGATTTTTAAATGGGAAAAATGACTATTGAGAAATGGGTTTCTTAGTACCATATCAAGATGGATAATTTTCATCCCTAAAATTTCCCCAAACAAGACAAGTAATTGAAGTGGCTGATCAAGCTCTCTTTGCCAGAGGGTTGTGCATAGTGAGGAGGGTCAAGGGTCAGAAATGAGGGCCAAGAATGCTATAGCAGTGAGTGGACACAGAGGGAGGTTTTTGAGTAGCTGCTGTGAAGCCTGAGGAGAAATGGACAGGTGAGGAAGGACGTTACTCATGTCCTACATCTTCGAGAAAACATACGTTGAAGATCTGTGTTACTCAGCAAGGTTTCTGGAACTGCATTTGTATTTTATTTGATTCCTCACTGGGCATATTAGGCCTCAAGGTAACGCAGCTGGGTTAAGGTTACAGGGGTAAAGGGCTCTAAAGCTCAGATTTTGGAAGGAACAAGAAAAATTATAAAAAGAACCCTTGATGCAAAGGTTGAGAACCATGATGGTTCTAAATTTTACCACATAAAAGTTATCTGAAGCCTGAGCAGAGCCAAAACATGCAAAGGGAAGGAAAATAAGAAACTGAAGGGGAAAAAGTGATTTCACAGAGTTGAGAACTTAAGGGGTTTTTTTTTTTCCCCTTTTTCCTTGAGTTAGGTATGAGGTTGGATTTTGAAGCAGTTTCATTAAACAGCATTTGTTCATAAAGTATCATAAAGAAAAAACACCATTAATATAAGTGAACTTGCTATGTGTTCACAAAGTTGCGCTAGACAATTTTATGTGCCTTTCTACTCTTAATCTCATAACATCTACTTTTGGTCACATGCCAAATTTAAGATGCATGAGATGAACAAAGAATGAATGTCTCTGATAAGTATGATTGTTTTCTCTTCCACAGTTACACAAACACACTACTCACCTTTAAACTGGAAGCCTTATCCCAAGGGCAAGATAACTTAAGCTGGAATGAAATTCAGAATTGTATCGATATGGTTAATATTGAAATTCAAGAAGAAAATGACCGTAAGTATAAAACACTTTCCTTCTCTCAGTATAATGAGAGAATAAGGTATCTGCACAACTTAGTTCCCTAGATTAGGGCTGCAAATTTTTGCTCATGGAGTTTATGAGAGCATACTCCCCTGATAGGCATGCATATATTTATATATAAATTTTATGCCTATAATACTGCACCAACATATTACATACATTACAAAACATACACAAAAAGACATAAAAGGATAGAATGAAAATGCGTAAATAGAAGTCCTCATGTTTTCTTATTTATTCATACTTCAGAGATGACTACTCTAAATAACTCAGCTTTTTAGGTACTCAACTTCATTTTGACCTTTCATTTGGGCATTTTTTAAAAATACAACATATGTTGCTACCCTAGGGAAAAATTGGAATGCAAGTCTTTAGGATCACAAATCATGAGGATTCACTGTGTATCTAGAAATTATGAGCTACCTGCAGGAATGTGGACAATCCCAGGAGGATATGCCCTGAAACATGCTTTCTTGAATGTCACCTTACCTCCTTATCTTGCTTACAAAAACAGAGTGAAGAATGGGGAGCTCTATAACTCAGCAATCAGTGTAGTCACTGCTTTTCTGTAGCATGAACTGTCAAATTCAAGTGTAGAGCGGTCTTTTCCATCATAAAAACAAACAGCACCATCATCTTTGGCTTTGTCTGAGCTGTTCGATTTGTCGGCAACATTTGGATTAAGATGGCTGATGTCACTGACCTCCCCTCTGTTCTCCAGCTTTCCCTTATTTTTCTAACTTGTCCAAGTTTGCTCACAGAGTAAACAGATACTTCTCTCACAAGCTTAGGCTGTTCTAGTGTGTTTTGGTGAGGTCTTAGTTCTGGTCTTCGAAGGCAGAACCTAACTTTGGGATAGTAAAATCACTCTTGACGTAAAACATACGACTTTGTTACTTGATTGCATTTGCATAATTTTCTTTTCTTTCTTGACTGTTTCCTGTGAACCCTGTGCCCAACATCAAGGCAGGGTTTGTTTTGTTGTTGTTGTTGTTAAACATCTCACTCAAAGTCCCTAATAGATAACAAGTGTTCAGATATGCTGCCCTGACATCCAATTCACAGATGTACCACTGTTCCACTGATCCCTGGACAGTTTCTTCATTGTATCCTTTTTAAGTTGTTTAAATCTTCAGTTCCTCTTCTCTGACCACACAGCTTGCTGCTGCCTCTGCATGTCCTTGGAGGGAGGCATTGCAGGAATCCCTGTGATCGGATGCTTTGCACGCAGCCCACTTAGCTCTTTTCTGACACATTGCCTTGGCTGGTGGTTCTTGCCAGATGTTAGTCAAGAGGGAAGCACTAATTTGAGCAGATGTCCAATATCATCTGGTCTGGGGGCCTGTTACAAGGCTCAGACCCCCAGCCCCTGCCCTCCTGCCCTGCTACTTGACCCTTAGCTGCACACTCTTGAGTTACCTGCACTGGTGGTTTGGGTGCTTTGGCTAATGCAACTCAAGGGTAGGACTCCTCTGTTTGGGTAAACAAAACAAAGAATCAGGTGCCATCTTTCTTTTCTAACTTGTCCCTAGTTCTTTCTGACAATACTCTGTCCAAGTCTGCTTTGGTGATTTCTATGTTCTGCTAATATGGCAAAGGTGTGTTAGTTCTCAGTGCTAAATGGTTGTATTTTTACTCTCAGTCTTTTTTTTTTTTCCTTTAAGATTTATTTGAGAGAGGGAGAGGGTAAAGGGAGAAGGAGAATCTCAAGCAGACTCCCTGCTGAGCGTGGAGCCCCATGTGGGGCTCAGTCTCACAAACCTGAGATGGTGAGGAGCTGAAACCAAGAGTCGGACGCTTAACCAGCTGAGCCACCCAGGCTTCCTTTTACTCTCATTCTTAACATTGATTAAAAAGCTGGGTGAAGGATGCCATTTTGTCCCAGACTATCAAATAGAGCCTTTACTTTTTTTCAGGAAAAGAAAAACAAGTAATGTTTGTATAACTTAAAAAAAAAAAGAATTTTTTTTTGTAGGTGGATATTATTTCTAAGCAACAATATCTTTGGATTGATAAGGCATTATCTCTCTAGGCAACTGCACTACTGCTCTTTTCCATGGGCTGTATCACATAGCCACTATCATATTTCTTCTGATAATCATGTTATGAAGGGCATATGCCATAACCACAACAGTTATTTCAGAGACTTCCTTATCATATTTCCTTTCTAGAATTGGTAGAATTCAGTGCAGAATATTTAATACTCTGTGCTTTGGTTTGTTTAGTTATGTCAAAATGAGGTATTTTCAAAGTTCTTGAAGTATTGAGTTTGATATCCTATGTTTAGGTAATTTCTTTAAAAGCTAAATAAAATAATATGCCATTATGAACTGGCATGAATTGCACAATATAGTAATTAAATCATCTGAAAGAGCTAAGGATTTTTCATGGACATCTTGAAAGTGCATTATCCTTCCCAACCCACCCCTGCCACACACTTCAAGGTCTAATCTTGTGTCTGAATTGTGATGTGGATAAGGATATGCAGCTAATGGGACATGATAAATGTGGAAGGAGAGTTTAATGGAGAAGCTGCTAAATACATTTCCTCAGACTTGGATGCTCTGTTGATTTCTTACTGGAAAGTTTACTTTTCCCAGTAGAGCCCTAGAGGAGCTTCATTTTAACTATGTAGCATAGACAAGGTAGTTTTCTTTCTTTGAATTTTTGCTTCAATTTGGTAGGTACCCTTCTTTGTAGGTTACCTCATCTGATGTCTTAAATATACAATCTGTAAGAGAATGCCCACTCTTTCATTTGACGAGAATGTTATAGTCTTGTATATGTTTTAAAAAATTGGGTCATGCATCTATATACTGCCTATGAGAGATTCATTTTAGACCTAAAGACACCTGCACTTTTGAGGACATGGAGAACCATTTATCATGTCAATAGACATAAAAAGAAAGCCAGAGTAGCCACACTTATATCAGACAAACTAGATTTTAAAGCAAAACTGTAACAAGAGATGAAGAAGGGCACTGTATCATAATAAAGGGATCTATCCAACAAGAAGGTCTAACAATCATAAATATTTATGCCCCCAGCATGGGAGCACCCAAGTATATAAGTCAATAACAAACATAAAGAAGCACATTGATAATAATGTAATAATAGTAGGGGGCTTTAACATCCCACTTACAACAATGGACAGATTGTCTAAACAGGAAATCAATAAGGAAACAATGGCTTTGAGTGACACACTGGACCATATGGACTTAACAGATATATTCAGAATATTTCATCCTTAACCGGCAGAATACACATTTTTTGAGTGCATGTGGAATATTTTCCAGACTAGATCACATACTGGGTCACAAATCAGGCCTCAACAAATACAAAAAATTGAGATCATACCATGCTTATTTTCTGACCACAATGCTATGAAACTTGAAGTCAACCACAAGAAAACTTTGAAAGACCACAAATACATGGAGGTTAAAGAACATCCTACTAAAGAATGAATGGGCTAACCAAGAAATTAAAGAAGAAGTAACAAATACATGGAAGAAATGAAAATGAAAAACACGACAGTCCAAAACTTTTGGGATGCAGCAAAAACAGTCTTTAGAGGGAAATAGATAGCAATACAGACCTACCTCAGGAAGCAAGGAAAATCTCAGATACACAACCTAACCTAACAAACTAGATTTTAAATCAAAACTGTAACAAGAGATGAAGAAGGGCACTGTATCATAATAAAGGGGTCTATCCAACAAGAAGATCTAACAAGGAGCTAGAAAAGGAATAGTAAATGAAGCCTGAAGCCTAAAGCCTAAGGGAACTAATAAAGAGCAGAAGTACATGATGTAGAAACAAACCAAAAAAACAGTAGGACAGATCAATAAAACTAGGAGCTGGTTCTTTGAAAGAATTAATGAAATTGATAAACCCCTAGCCAGACTTACCAAAAAGAAAGAGAAGGGACCCAAATAAATCATGAATGAGAAAGGAGAGATCACAACCAACACCACAAAAACACAAACAATTGTAAAGGAATATTATGAAAAATTGTATGCCAACAAATTGGGCAATCTGGAAGAAATGGATAAATTCCTAGAAACAACTAAACTACCAAAACTGAAACTGTGAGAAATAGAAAATTGGAACACACCCATAACCAGCAAAAAAATTGAATCCGTTATCAAAAATCGCCCAACAGGAGCACCTGGGTGGCTCAGTCGGTTACGCATCTGACTCTTGATTTTGACTCAGGTCATGATCTCAGGGTCATGGGATTGAGCCCCTCATTGGGCTCCACACTGGGCAAGAAGCCTGCTTGAGATTCTCTCTCTCTCTTCCCAACCTTCTGCCCTGCCCTACTTGCACAGTCTCTCTCAAACAAAACAAAAACAAAAAAACTCAAGTGAAAGTCCAGGGCCAGATGGCTTCCCATGGGAATTCTACCAAACATTTAAAGAGTTAATACGTATTCTTCTCAAACTGTTCCAAAAAAATAGAATTAGAAGGAAAATTTCCAGACTCATCCTACAAGGCCAGCATTACCTTGATTCCGAAACCAAAGACCCCACTAAAAAGGAGAAGTACGGGCCAATATCCATGTTCATCCGGGTGAATCTTCTCAACAAGGTACTAGCAAATCAAACCCAACAGTACATAAAAATAATAATTCACCACAATCAAGTGGGATTTATTCCTGGGTTGCAAGAGTGGTTCAGTATTCGCAAATCTATCAACGGGATACACCACATTAATAAAAGAAAGGGTGAGAACCATATGATCCTCTCAATAGATGCAGAAAAAGCATTTGACAATTACAGCATCATTTCTTGATTAAAATTCTTCACAGCGTAGGGATAGAGGGAACATACCTCAATATCGTAAAAGCTATATGCGAAAGACCCACAGCTAAAATCATCCTCAATGGGGAAAAGTGAGTAGTCTCAGGATACAAAATCATTGTACAGAAATCTGTTGCACTTCTATATACCAATAATGAAGCAGCAGAAAGA